GGGCTTTGCTACAAACACACTAGCTTTGCACTTGTTGTGGCATCAAATGGGTGGTGGGTTACATAAGAAGTTACAGAAGGGTTATGGACAGTGAGGGGGATAGAATCTGAGGGCTTGGAGTAAAAGGTGCATGAAAATAAAGCCCTGGGTTTGTTCCAACTTAATAGCTGCTCTTTATGGCTTCCAGAAAGGTCTTTGGTGTTTATATTCCTGCAAGGATAATAATTTTATCAAAATGAAATATGAGATGTCCAGGTCACTGGTCCTATGCTCCCCCACTATGGCAAATTGATTTTATTTTTCAGAAGCAAATGTTTCCTAATACTATCTTTGCAGCTGACATTTGATTACTGCCCAATATTACGAAGCACATGCTGACTCTCTACAACATTTATTGCCATGCTTTGTTGATTGATATGGCTGTCATAGGAGCTGTTTATAGATGGCCTGACGATGGACATTTTAATTTGAATAGTTACATATGTTAATCTGGACTCCCAATTCACATTCCTCGATTTTCCTTTCTCGGCTTCCTTTTATGTCGAAGTTAAAAAGTAAGTCAACTTACAGGCAAACAGTGGCTAGATAAAAATGTGGCATGTTGCTGCTCATGACCAAGGCAGCCACTGTGAAGACGCTCTGAGTTACCTGAGTGGTGGGCACACCGGGCCAGGCAGTCACAGGAAAGCCGACGTAAGCATTGGGATGGGTTCTGACCGTGGCAATAGCTCGTGAGAAGCCATCCTGGAGACCAGTAACTAACGTGTGAGCTGCTGCTTGCTGCCTCCAGAGTGTACTTTCCATGTGACTCTAATTGGCCCACACAGGAATGAAACCATGACCCTTCCCTCATTAGCCACATGCTCAGACCAGCTGAGCTAGCTCGCACGGGGTCACTGGGGTCTCTTGTAGGAAATTACCATTCCAGTGCCCTGTGGCCCTCTTGTAACCCCAACTAATGAATGTCCCATGGAGCCTAACGTCCTTCCTGGGGAAGCATGCAGCTCCCCCAGCAGCACGTGTGATGTTCTAAAGGTTTAGCCCAGGAAGAGCTAACTGAAGGAGCACAGAGAATTTGGGGAGCCAAGGAATAGCCTCACAGACACCTGCATGCTGGAAGGAAGGGGGAGGACACAGTACCAGTGTGGTGGAGCTGGTCTCAAGACCCAGGGGAAACTGCAGAAAATCACACAGAAAGTTCAAGTTCAATGGCAGGCACCACGGGTATGCTCTATAACATTAGCAGCCTATGTCACCAACATTTTAAGATTTATTTATGTGTATGTGTCTGTGTCTGCCACATGTGTGCAGAGGTTCGGGGAGGCCACAAGTGGCCATTGGATGCCCAGGTGCTGGAGGGATAGTCAGTGTTTCTGGGGTTTGAAGTTGTGTCCTCTGAAGACTAGTAAACCCTTAACCACAGAGCCATGTCTCCAGCCTCTACTGCCAAATTTTAAAGATGAAAATGGTGTGTGCCTATTTTAGAGATGAGGAAACTAAGGCTTGGAAGTAATTAGTAAGAGTCAAAGATCCTCCCAGGAACATCACATTGTGGAAATGAATACACCATGAAATAGAGAGCTTTACTTTGCTGGGGCATGCTGCCTCACCACAGGCCTGAAGCAACGGAGCAAATCAATCATGGGCAGGAACCTCCAAAATTATGGGTCAGATAAACCGTCCTCTTTATAAGCTGACCAACTTGGGTTTTTCGTTGTAGTTAATGAAAAGTAAACAAACATAGCCACAATCCTGTTTTTAGTGATTCTTTTGAAAATCGGCTATTATTTCACACCACATTTCTCTTCACCTTGTTGCTAGAAAATCCTGCTTCAGATAGAGCAGGGAAGTCTTTTTGGAGACCTTGGCATGTGTTAGGTAGATAAACATTGACACACACCTATCCCAAAACAACAGACTTCCTCGGTTAATTACAAATGTTTGTTGACTCATGAACATGTTTGCATCCAGTTCTGGAGCAGCCACTCCATTCCTGGGATGGAAATCTAAAAACAGTAGCAACCACTGTCTCATGCTGAGAAACAAGGGCTTCAAGGCAGTATAGTGCAGGGGCCAGTCTCCTGCCAGCAGGGGGAGATGAGAAGAGTGACAGACATCCTGAAGCAGGGATACTGCGGAAACTTTTTCTTCACTCTTTTCTACATTCATTCCCTCCCTGGCTGAGCTTTAGATTAGGTAAAGACAGGAATCACATTGCCACAGGGCGGACACGGATTTTTTGTCGTTGTTGTTCTTTCTGGATGTCAAAACTTGTACACATTTAAGGATGGATTGCAGCTGGGGCCGCAGGTCCTTCTGAGCCCCAATGAGGCAATTTTCTTTAACCCACTGCCACCTAGTGGCAATTGAGCAGACTGAAAAAGACACTTAGTTCTATCCAAGACTAGAAGACAAGTTTTGTTTTGTTTTTAAGTTCCTGCTTACCCTACCCAGAAAGCCAGGGTAAAGACGTATTTATTTACTGGCTTTCCACACCCCGGACAATCTCTGAGGTATGAAACAAACTGGGAATGACCAGACCTAGATCTGTGAGGCTTGCCCGCCCCCTCTTTTTGAGACAGGGTTTCTCTATACATCAGCCCAAGCTGACCAGGCTGGCCTCAAACTCAGAGATCCACCTGCCTCTGCCTCCCAAGCGCTGGGATCAAGGCATGCGCCACCATCACCTGGCTTCCCTCTCCCCTTATGTAGTGGTTAGGAATTTGCAAATGCAGTTGAGCTCAGGTTAACCCGTGTCTTTTAGAGGAGCACTGCACGGCAATTTAACTTGAGAAAGTGTGTGTGTGTGTGTGTGTGTGTGTGTGTGATGGAATCCAGAGTTTTGCACATGCTAGACAAGCACTCTACCACTGTGCCATACCCTGTCTTTGGAGCTTTGAGATTGGATACAGCTATGTAGCCTAGGCTGGCCTCCAACTCCTGACCCTTCTGACTACCTCCTGAGTGCTGGGATGGCAGGCATATGCCATGTTTGAGCCAGCCTGATGTTTATTTGTTCTACTGGTTACTTTAAAAGCACATAGGAGAAATTAAGTCATCAACATGGCAAGCCCTCAGGCCACTCAGCTTCCTTACACGCATGGAGGGACGCTGTGACCCATTCACAGATTTCTGAAAGTGTGCGTAGATCAATTACTCCAATGTGGTAAAACATCCAGAGGTGATAAGAATCGATGGTGACATCAGCAGATTGTGAGAATGGATTAATGCCAGTGAAGACCAGGCAGAAGAAAGCTACAGGGCAATTAGTACAGCTTGGGGGTGGGATAATTCAAATTTGGGGGAACAAAGCTGCTTCAATGATGGGGACCCAGATGTGAGTTTTGGCATCGAAAAGGCCCAAGATCACAGCAGCAGGATTGCAATTGGCTAGAAATAGTTTATTTGATTATTTGTCTTTGTGACTATATACATGTGTGGACATGTGTATGCATTTGTGTACACTCCTAGCGCATTGGGTGTCCTCCTCCTTCACCCTCCCTAAACCCAGACTCAAGTTTTCTCAACTAGGCTAGAAGCCAAGCAAGCCCAAGTGCCCTGTCTTCCCACCCAGGAGCTGGGGCTATAGGTGTATGAGGACACTGGTCTTGTTACATAGTGCTTGGATCTGAACTCTGGTCCTTGTGACTATAGACTCAACCACCAAGCCATCTCTCCAGCCCCCTCTTGAAATATTTTAACTTTCGAAATGTGTGTCTTCTTTTGGTGAGACCTACCATTTTTCTATGACTTCCCCAAATGAGCAGAGACCAAGCATCAAGAGAATGGATACAATCATATTTATTACAGTTTCCAGACTCCCATTTGACACATACCAAAAGCAGCACATTGAGAATGGCGGTTACGAGCAGCAGGCCCCCTCAACAGGAAGGGTCTCCGTTAACCTAATAACAAGGGGTAATGTAAAGATGAGATCAGTTGGGGGTTTATCAGTTGCTGTAGGAGCACTGAAACCATAGTCATTCGGCTTCAGCCCTGTTTGTAAAACCATCACCAAGTCACGGTGCAGAGGGGACACAGTTGCCACAGCCTTTACATGTCCCTATTAAATAAGCAAACCACTTTTGGTTGCTGTCTTTTTTTTTTTTTTTTTAACGACATTTTCCCTCTGTAACTTTGACTAGCCTGAATCACAGTGATCCTCCTACCTCAGTCTCCTAAGGCTGGGATTACAGGTGTTGAGTTTTTTAGGACACAGCTTACTGTCTGCTTTCCTGTTGGGAGAACAGAAGAGCAGAGCAGAGCTGCTTTGGAACCCAGCTCCACACAAGGCCAGGTAATGACCTGCAGCAACCCTGACAAGTGTCCAGACGCTTCCTTCAGAGCTCTGGAAGCACATCAGACATTTGCTCCCAAGGACTCACAATCAAAAGCGATTGCAATGTGCCAGGAACCATATTCCCAGCTTTTGTGAGAGACACCCTGTGTTTGCAGAAGGTGTTCTGATGGAGTCCGGACTCTGACAGCTTAAAGACCCCTGCGTCCTGAGTGCACAGAGTTTTCTTGCCCCCATCTTCAGACTACCCATGCCGTTTCTTGACAGAGGGCTTTCGCTTTTATTAGCAGTGATCTGACAAACACTTGAACAATACTCAAAATACTGGGAGTGATGGAGGCCCAACCCTTCTTCAGATAACTGACAGGAGCCTGAAGGCTTATCTTAAATCCACCAACGTGCCAGAAAGTAACAACAGACTTCCTGCCTTTCCCATACAACACAGGCCAGATGAGATGGTTTTGCTTTGAACCACCGAGAAAAAGCCTTCTGGGCAAGAAAGACACGGACAGGTGAACAGTTACTGACAACGGGCTGCATGCATTCCAGATGTGGTTCAGGAAGAGAAAAATGAAGACACCTCTCAAACTACTCAATTTATACCACCAGACTCTTTTCTCCATTAGCCTGACCTACGAACAGCCACCATTTCATTCATAAAAAGTGCAGAAGGGAATGAAACACTCTGGGGGAGCACCAATGACAGCTAGCTGTCTTTGAATGATTTTAACTTTTTCATACAGGAAGAATCTACAGGACATTTAAAGAAGCAAATTATAGAACCAATGGTATTTCATGATTTTGCCTGGGTGGCTGTCATGGAGAGAATGCAAACAGAAACACAAACACCCACTTAGCATCATACTGGGTTTATTTCTTTTTTTCTTAAAGGGAAGAAGTGTCAACACAGATCTCTGGGAGGCTGAGTATTAAGGGTGGCTCAGGGCTCATGACCTGACAACCTCTGAAGGGGCATTCTTTCCCTGTCAAGACAGACAGGGCTGCTGCTGATCTGACCACAGCTCACTACAAGGGTTCGTGGGCACCCAAACTAGAACATTCCCTGCCTTGATGAACACCAGGTAAAGAGCAAGGTACAGACTGCTCCAAATCCTGTCTCAGAGGCTAACTGCCTAAGCATTTCACAAGCCACCAAACTGATCCTAAGAAAGAAAACCTCCAGCTTCCCAAACAGTAAAGCAAACAAGCCTGGGTGAAAGCTATGGAGCACAAGATCGGCCCTATGGGCACAGAATGGCATGCAGCAGGACTCTGGCTGCCACTTCCAAGCCACGTGACACAGTAGGGGACCCTGGTTCCACATTAACATTGCCCATTTAAGGAATGCTGCTTTCATACTGGCTCCTTCCCCAGCTTTCCTGTAGCCTATATGCACATGTCTGAACTTGACTAACCTGTGGTCATCCCAGGTGGTGGTATGAGCACTGCCAGCAGCTTCTATAAGCTGAGCATAAACAATGCCAAAAAACATGAGCAGAACACTCAGTCAAACCAGTTGCTGCGGCATGGGCAGAAATCCTGGCATCTGTACATGGCTGACTGTGCTGGAAGAGCTTGGCCTCCTTTGTCTATGTAAGACCTTAGTCCTTGAACATCACCAGGGCCCCTGTCCTGTACTCTGTCTCCCTTACACTTGAACAGGAACCTTTAACAACCTTGTTCAGGTGCTGATGCTTGCCTACTTGTAATTTCTATTTAATTTCCACAACAACTGTGGCTAAACTGGAAACATTAATAGCTGAGCCAAAAGTAGTGGGCAACCCATTTAGTCGCAGCACCCAGCAGGCAGATCTGTGAGTTTGAAGCCAGCCTGGTATACAGAGCTAGTTTCAGACCAGCCAGGGAGACACAGTAAAACTGTCTCAAAAAACAAAAGCAAAGTAAAACAAAGAAGCAAATGAAAACAAAACAAAAAAGAAGCCAACCACTGGCCATACTAATTGCTGGCAACATTACCACCTGATAAAGCCAAACACTCCTGAAAAGTCCTTAACAAGAATACAGGACTATTCCGTGGATACTCAGATATCTAGAGATTAGTTTGAACGATCAAAGCTGTTTATTCAAAAGAAAACTCTAATTCCCACAGAACACCAATGAGCAGGCCCTACTCCATTCTCGATTCGTGGGCTCCTCAGAAGGGTCTTCTAGTACTTGACCTCACCATCCCCTTTCCCCATGGTCTTTCTTTCTCCTAATGAAAATTTGAGCTGTTTCCATAGCAACTTTTATTGACTGATTGACTCATTCACTCATTCATTCATGTCAGGGACTGAACTCAGGGTCTCATGAATACCAAGCATAGGGCCTACCACTAAGCAACATGCCCAGCCCAGCCACTACAGCGACCCATTATGACCTATGTGACATCATTTTTGAGCAGCAATACATTAGAACACATTTTTTTATTTTTGAAATTTTTCCAATAATAAAGAAAAGGCAATAATTTATTAAATTGACTTATCTAAAAATAATTACCACACTTCGCACAAAATTGCACATTTTCTAGAGAATATTCATTTTGGAATCACTGTCCAGATTAAACAAATAAGTGGAGGGGATCTAAAGAGAGAGCACAAATAATTTCACAGCTAGAGTTGTCATGTTGAATGGAAAATTATAAATCAATTGGTATAGAAATATGGGAGAGTTATATAGCAACATGAAATTGGCATGTGTATAACATAAATCAGGAGGGTCACTTGCATGAACAGAAATTCTTTCATGCACATTTGATTGCACATTTCTACATAGTTAGCAAAAAAAGAGCATCCATTACAGCTTCTAGCTAAGGGAGAAAAGGGTAGATAGTCAAGGACAGCTACACAGAGAACACAGGTGGAGATGGAGGCGATACAGCCTGATGAGGGATTTGAGAACAGAGGCCACGCACAGGAGGCAGAAGGGAATTTACACAAGAAGACAAGAGTTGTGAGCCTGAGTCTGTATCAGAGACTCCACAGACCTCAGTGCATCTGTCCTAACTTCAAACTCAGATACAATTAGAAATAAAAACAGGTAAACAGAAAACAGACAGAAAGCCCTCAGATCCCACTTTGGGAACAATGCCGTTTTTAGCTGCACAGTCTCCTGTCAGTATCACAACAGATACCCTTGAAAAGCAGGGGCCGGGATGTGGGGGAGCAGCAAAAAGAAAGTCACTCTCTCCTTAGGGGAGGTGTTCCTCTGAGAAGTCCTGTTTCCCTCTAGAGGAAGAAACAGACCATGAAACCCAGTTGTTGAAGTTCTCACAGCCTTCTAATGATGGCTACAAGATCACAAATGACAGCTGGGAAGATACCTTTCTTATATAGCACCTGCCTTGCTCATAGGACAAGAGAATTTTTATAGAGCTATGCAATAGAGTAAGGAAAAATGGCACTTAAGTATGCTTAGAGGCTGTAAAACACCTTCCTAAAATCCTGCCACAGTGCCCTGGTGAGGTAGGTATCTGATGGGGAAACTGAGGCACATCTGCTCACTTTTCATTGTCTGATGAGGCAGTGGTCCAGCTAACAGAACTTTATTTGCCCTGCTTCTCAGTAGGCTTACCCATGCTATCCACAAACAAAGCAGGAGAAATGTTCTATTCATACATACATTTAGACTAATTACTTCTTATTCTTACTTTGAACATAAGTTATCTAACATAAAGGAAGTATAAACAAAATTTTGAAAATCAATATTGCCTAACAGTCTATGTCAAGATGTAGCCCATTCTGTATTGTGGTTGAAAAGCATATGGTGATATAATTCAAGTAGGCGCGTCCCTGGTCCTTTGGTATTCCTGTCACTCAGGCTTAAATGGGAGTCAAGTACCCTTATGACATACCCATTTGCTTCTAAGAACCTCACCAGTGTGACACAGGGAATAAAAGTGTATGACCCCTCTTTCACAGTAACACCATTCTGAGAGACTTTCTACACAAGGCCAGCCCCGCCTGGAAAGGGGACTCTCAGCCATGTGACAGATGTGCATTATTGAGTTCATGCAGAACTCTCTGAAGTCTGACACGAAGGTCACATCAGGACAGTTCACACACAACACATGGGTGATACCATAGAGCACATGCATCTAGCACCATGCCACAGGAGTCGGAGAGGACAACGAGCCACGAGGACGGCACAATCCCATCTGGAATGCCATGTGCAGAGGCCACCTCTGGTGAGGGGAAGACTTACAAGCTTCTGCCTTCCTTCCCACGAGAAGAGGAGGTCAAAGCAGAGCTCCACTCCTGCATAAGCTGGTAACTTCCCTAGACCTTATTAATATTCAAGGATGAGAAATTTCACTTCTTGATCAAGAGAGAATGATGCAGAGCATAGGTCAGTTCCAAGATATGGGTGCAGGGCTCTTGGGCAATTTGCACTACTGCTCTTAGATCAACTCACAGTGCTCAGAGCACTAGCTTTTAGAAATGAAATATTTCCTTCTCAGATGGTTCTTACAGTTCCCACAGACTGAATTCCACTCACACTATGGCCCTAAGTCAAAGGGAACAGCTTATGCTTGAGACTCTGGAGCAGACAATGACAGCCCGTCAGACGCATGTACTACGAATGGCTTTTGCCTGGTTAGTATTGCTGACCTGCCCTCCCCTCAATTTGGTTTCCAGAGGCTGAGCCAGCTCTGTCCTCTGTACGGGCAGGGCCAGTGGGAACCACTGTGACTCACACTTTGATTGGGATACTAGGATATAGCATAGGAACAGTTCATGCACTTTATTTCTAAAACCCAAAGGTCAAGTGGGGCTTAGCTGGTCACTGTGCAAGATGAACCAGCAGGACATTCTCGCCGCGAATGAAAATCTGATTTATGTGTCTTGTGAATACCTGCTGGTAATCCACCTTGGGCTTTCTCTTTTTCTTTCTGGACTGGCCCCGTGAAAGGGTGGTGGCCCTGGAGAAGGTGCCTCCCACACTGGACCCCTCTGTCCGTGTAGTCCTCCCTGACAGCTCAGACCTGGACTCCTCCCTTGCAGATGCCTGCAGGGAAGAAGGGACAGAGCGGGAGCGCCTGTGTGAGCCCCTGTCAGTGTCTCCTCGTCCCCACACTGAAGCCACCTTCCAAGTGGATGTCTGCGAGTATCTAGACAGGGTGGAGTCTTCAACTGCAGACTTGGAATCGGCTTCCTTTTTGGCGGAATCTTGAAGTTTCAGTCGATCAAACAGCTATATGGAAAGCAGTGACAACTATTAGCCATGGTAATGCCTACAATATAACTGTGTCAATACACACAACAAGGTAAGAGTCCTTAGCTACAGCTTGTGAACTCCTTGCACTGACTTTCTTTTAAAGGTAATGGTCACTTTTCAATTTCCAGACATAACTCAGGTAACCAGGACAAGAGAAAAGGTACTCCTTATCTCTGTGGCACAAAGCACCTTGTAGCTCACAGGCAGGCAAGAAGCGGGTGCCGTTGGGATCTGCTGGAAACATGCAAGGTTCCCAAGCAGTGGGCTTGTGATCATGGTGTCCAAGGTAGAAGGCAGGGTGGGTACCCAGGAGGTCAGGGGGAGGCACCTACCCTTGTGAGAGTCAGCGAAGAATCCCGTTCGTAGGCTTTGCCTAAGACAGGCTTACGGTATGTCTCATCCACATCGGTGAGGGCCTGGAGGAACCCAAAGGGAAGAAAGGGGAAAAGGGTGTTATTTATAGAGGCTTTGGGAGAAGGCAGAGGAGCACTTAATTACAGCATAACTAACCAGGCTTGGTCACAAGATGGTAAAGCCCAACTCGGCTGCCTAGGATTTCAAAGCTTCTTCCAGCTTATTAGATGAGCTTTTTTGACAATGGCAAGGCTTTTACAACCCCCTGGTAGATATTCAGAAACTTCAGTGCATGTAAATATGCAAGAACTTTAATAAAATACAAACACAGGGCTGCTTAAAGAAAAAAAAAGTGAGGTTTTTAAAAATTTGGTTGGTTTGGATTTTCCCCTTCTTAACCCCCCCCACTTTTTTTTTTTTTTTTTTGATACAGGATCTCATTATATAGATCTGGCTGGCCTGGAACTCTCTATGTAAACAAAGCTGGCCTCAAAATCACAGAGATCTGCCTGCCTCTGCCTCTGCCACACTGGGATTAAAAGTATACACTAACACACGACTAAAAAGTTTTTTCCGTTTGTGTGTATGTGGGGAGAAGGTGCACATTCTAAGTGTGGCAGCTCTGAAGGGAAAGCCTGGCAGTTGGGAATAAGAAAAATCTCACATGAGAGATTTACTGGGAAAGACACAAGAGGGTGGCTGCGAGGGGGGGGGGGGGGGTTTAAAAAAGGTTTCTCAGGGGCAGAGTTTTTTAGGTTGGGGACTGGTGGGATTTCAAACTCAGGGATTGGTCAGTTTTCAAGCCCAGCGACTGGTGGGATTTGGAGGCCAGGAATTGGTGGGTTTTATAAGCCCTGGAACTCTGAGCTCAGACTTTTACCCTATATCCCCCTCTTTTTTTATTATTAACAAACAATCAGGGGCTAGGCAGGGGGCAACATTATTATTAAACTACTTTTTGCTGAAAATCTTGGGGGTGAACTTGACCTTCACCATCAGGGGATAGTCGGAGGTCACAGGCCTCTGGTTCCATAGCCAGGGGCTGATAATCTTGTAATAACAGCTGTTTAAAAAGTCTGGTTAGAAATCTTTTGCATCTGTTACTGAAGAAATGTAGTCCAGAAGTTCACAAGGCATAGGGCAATCAGTTGTAGGATTAAAAGGAGGAGGTGAAAGGGAGTTAAGAAAGGCAATATCCAATTCTTTGTTGGACTTGTATCTCCTTTTGGAAACCTGCTGGTCAACAATCTCCAGAATCCACCATTTGAGTGGTCTGGTTGAACCATTGTGAATAGGTTTCCTGAACCTTTGAAATCTTAATGTAAACAACAGCATAGGAGGAGAAAGATATCTGAAATATTTTTACCTTAAGTTTTCAAATCATCAGACCTTTTACACTTTCTCAGACTCTCGGAACTTACTGGAACTTTCACATCCTCAGACCATTCTACACAGATTTCTGAGACTCTCATTGCAACTGGGCTACATTTTCACAATAGCCTCTCCTGGGCTCTCTTTAGGAATCTCTGTCCTGACACACAGTGCCAAGTCTCAGTTGCTCTCCATGACCCCTTCATGTCCTTTTTTAAAAATAATACCATCTAGGTGACTATATTACAAACTTTGGCTACCAGTTGAGGTACATTCTTGCATATGAGTACACAAAGGTGCAGCTTTAATACCTTATTAAATAAATAACCATTGTGTTTTAAATCCTATTTTCATAAACCCTACTTTTATGATTTTTGTTTTCAGGACAGGAATTTTCATACAATAATAGAGAAAACAGGCATGGGAGTAAGCCCCAGAAAAGGAGATATGGATAAGGCAGTCATAGGGAACTAAATTAGCCTCTGACAGTCTGATACAGAGCAATTTACCAACCCTATTAAGACAAGCTATTGGTTAAAGGTGGGGAGGTCTCTTGGATGATACATATTCATACATAAGAGCTACCATGGACACATTCAGATAGGAACAAATAGAAGAGGAGAGAGCACAGATAGGAACAAATAGAAGAGGAGAGAGCAAAGTTTAGACATAAAAGGTTTTCTGATCACTTGTTTATGCAGTAGCAGAAGTTGCCCTCACTGAAAATTGAGCATGCCAATTTTGGACATTGGATTGTACTGAACCCAAGCTGCTTATTGTAACAGAGTTAGACTTTAATAAAATCTGAGACCATGGAGAAAAAGACAAAGGGTCACAAAACAAACTTCACCAGAGGGAGTTTCTATAAGCTCCAAGTGGGAGCTGAGAGGGCAAAGAAGAGCTGTAAGACTTCTAGAACAGAGCTGAGAGACAGGAGGGATGTGGTCACAGAGGCCCAAAAGGGCTTAAGGAAGCTGCAGGACTTAGCAGACAGCTCCCAGGAGGAGACTAGGAAACAGGGGTGGGGGGAGCAAGTGTCTGAGCAACTAGCAAGTTGCCCATGTGGTGGGGTCCTGGAGAGCGAGCTGGTTCCAGGAGTCAAAGAGAGGACACTTACCAAATAGGTGCGGAGAGATGGATGGTTAGAGCACGTGGGAGGAAGAAGCAGATGAAGAGGCAGACTCTAGAATTTGGAAGCAAACATGGTGGGTGGCAGATGCCAGCAGAAACAAATGACCGTGCACACCATAAGAGAGTCAGCAACTTGAGTCAGTTTGAACGTTGAGAAGTGGGCATGGCTGAAAAGTAAGTGTGGCATCCTTTACTACTGTTACCTGAAGAGAAAGAACTCAAGAAGGGGGTAATGTCTAGAGATTCTCGCATGGTAGAAGGTGGGACAAGTGGTGAGGAGAGAAGACAGTAATAGGTGACCCAAAGGTTAACTTCTTTGATTTGAATATAAGAAGCTCGGCTGCAGCCAGAATTCAGACAAAGAGCTCATCCTTGGAGAGTATGATCTAATTTTTCAATAGAGTATGTAACAGATGCAAAGGAAGAACCGTGGCCTGTTTAGGCTGGGTAGGCAGAGGCAAAGGGGGTCCAATGGTGGAGTGGAAATGAGTAGCAGGAGGACTAAGGACTGCCACTGGGCACCCTGAGAGGGATGATTTGGGTGGACAGCCTATTACTGAGAAGGGAGAAAGGGAGACCCAAGTGGCTGGGTGTGGAGTGGGGTTGGGGAGAAAGGGCTGTGTGTTGCAGCTCACAAGGGGGAGGCTCGTTAGTGTGATCAAAATAGTGGAGGAAACATCATCTGGTTTGGGCTTCATAACTAGGAGGAGCTGTTTTTTCCTTGGCTGGCTTATGCTATGTGGTCACTTTTAATCAAGATGGGAGTGAAGTCACATGGCAAATTTCATCCTTTCTAACCATAGCAAAGATGGCTGTCAGCCACATGACTGCATCCCAGTGGAGGGAAAACAGCTAAGATGGTGGCATGCCTTTAAGATTACCTATGTATAGACTTTTTAACTGTCAACCCCAGTGTTACGAGGTTTACATTAACCTTTTTGTTACAGAGTTTACAGATTTTAAATCATACCCAATATACTTACAAATCTTGAGAAACAGAAAAGTTCACACAGCTGGGCCTTGGTAGCACATGCCTTTAACCCAGCACTTGGGAGGCAGAGGCAGGCGGATCTCTGAGTTGAAGGCCAGTCTGGTATACTAAGTGAGTTCTAGGACAGCCAGGGCTACAAAGAGAAACAAACAACAGCAAAAGAGGGACCAAGAGGGGATCTGGCCCAGGGCTTCCTTCATAGAGCTTGGCAAACATTTTTACCACTGCCCAACATCTCCATCCTTTGAACTCCAAAAAGGGTGTGTGATGATAGGCTTACAAATCTTGAAATAAGATTTATACCTTAGCAAAAGTTTTAGAGAGTTAAACCAAAACCAAAAGGGTATAAGATAAGTAGCATAGTCTGTCTCTTTATTTTGTGTCAGTCAGGTGGCTCACCTAATATGGGACAGAGATTTTGAAGGAAACCTTTAAACAAGCATGACTGGGTCTAGAGGAGGGGGAGCCATACCCCAACTCCAGAGCCAGCATTTAATCGAGGTGGGACAGCATATAACAACAGTCCAATGCCACTCACACCTAAAAAAACACCCGAATGCCTGTAAAACTGACAACAAAGAAGGCTTAAGAGATAGGAAAATTTTGAGCCCTGGCTATAGACAGGATGGTACAGACTGTTTGCATGGGTGTGCATGCTCCAGCTGGCCTACTCCTTTGCTTTCTCTCCCTCCTTGGCTCTGGCTCCCACTTTGCAACAAACTTACAGATCCATCAAACTGAATTTAAAAGACAGGACATTTACACAGTGTGGGAGGAGAACAGACCAAAACAAATAGGGCTTAAAGCTGAAAAACAGAGAACGCCTGAATATAGGGAATGGGAATGTTTTTCCATCTCCTGATCCTTCCCAGTATTTGTAAAGGTCCAGACTATATTGGGATCTGGGGTGCCATTAAGAGGCCATTTGGGTTGATTATCTAGGGGGTATTAGGGCCAAATTTGACTGTAAAGGTGAACAAGTTTAGGGCTCTTCAGGTCAGGTGCCAGGTATAGAGGCTGAAGGTTTTCTAAAAGGCACGGGGTGGAGGGCGGGTGAGAGGGCATGGTAGACACTGTTCCCATGGATGGAACTAGGGGGCTAGAGGAAAAAGTCACTGCAGCCTGTATTTCAGGGCATCCTCAGGACTCAGGGAGGACCCAAGGAAGACCAAAGAAGCATTCACACGGACCTAAGGGAGAACCTACCACTAGTGGATCAAGCAATCAGTGAGCTGGAAGGTGAGTGGACTGGGTGAACTGGAGATGAGGGATAGGGTCCCAATGTAGCAGACCCTGAGAGGAGCTCAAGCACCAGAAGAGCTTATCCGAGTCATGAAATCAATCTAAGTGTTACAGCTCTGAGGGGAAGACTTTTCCATTGCAAGAGTTACAGCTCTGAAGGGAAAGATATCCTGACAGTCGGGAGCCAAGGAAGACAACAAAGTCATACTGCACAACACACCTCACACAAGAGATTATTGGGAGAGACACAAGAGGGTGGCCAGAAGCAGCAGGAAACTGAGCAGGAGGCAGGTTTTATACAGGGTTTCTTGGGTGGCAGAGTTGTCCAGGGTAGAGATTTTCAGGTTGGGGCTTGGTGGAATTTCAGGCTCAGGGATTGGTGAGTTTGGAACCCAGAAGTGGGCTTGGACCTTTTACCCTATAAGGCAGGTTTATGTAAGGTTTCTTGGGGGTGGAGTTTTCCAGGGTAGAGATTTATAAGGTGAGCATTAGTGGGATTTCAAGTCCTGAGCTTGGGATGCACACAGGGATTGGTAGGAGTTTGAACCCATGGACTGGTGGGTTTTCAAGCCCTGGAAGTGAGCTCACACCTGACACACGTGTGCTACCATGTGGGCACAGAAGTCAGATGACTCTCAGCAGGACTCAGTTCTTCCTTCCTATAGGTGGGGTCTGGGGATCAAATCTTGTCTTCAGGCTTGTTGGTCAGCAACTTGACTTGCCTGAGCCATCTCATCAGCCCCAAGGCTATTATTAGAGAATCCCATGTGTACTACTCAACAGAAACCCTAGGTGGTTCTGCTGCAGGACAGCTTAAAACCACATATTAAGAAGCATGACTACTCTTTTATCCTCCTCAGTTTCAGTAAGTCTGGGGTTCACCAGGGTGACATGAAGGATCACCGGGTCGGCAACTGTCAGGATCGATGAGATTATGCAATGGAAATTACTCTGGAAAATGCAAACTTACCCTACATATCTAAAGAAATAATCATATGACCACTACTGTCAATAGACATATTCTCTTTAATTCTTCCCCCCCAGGGCCAGTTATTGTGGCTCACCCCTGTAATCCCAGGCAGGAGACTGAGGCAGGATGACTGGTGTAAATTCAAGGCCAGTCTAGGCAGCATAATGGGTTCCAGGTTACAGAGTGACATCCTGTCCAGAAAGACAGAGAAACTTGGTTCTTATCAACAATAAAATCATCACAGTATGTTAGCCTATTTTTAGAATGAGCAAACGGAGTCTCAGAGGAGTTTCGAAATGGTGAAGTCATTAGGATTCAAATTTCCTAACAATTAAAAGAAGGGTTTCAAAACAGACATGGTGATGATGCATGCTTTTAATCCAAGCACTGGGGAGGCAGAGGCAGGAGGATCTCTGTGAGTTTGAGGCCAGCCTGGTCTATAGCACCAGTTCTAAGGTACCTAGAACTACAACAAACAAACAAATACATACTAAAAGCAAGGTTTTAGAAGCCATAAAGACTCAGTCTAAATAAAGCCTTGTACTTTCTTAACAGTAGATCTGGAATGGATCCAACTTCTCTGGGCTCAGTCTTCATCTGTAAAAGGTACAGTAGAATCAGCAGCTCATCCATGAACAGATAGGAAGGGGGACAGGGTGGAAATGCTGCAAGTTTGAGGCCAGGCTCCACTACAAGGTAGGTAGGTGGGTGGGTAGGTAGGTAGGTGTGTGTGTGTGTGGGCGCGTGCGTGCGTGCGTGCGTGCGTGCGTGCGTTCAAGGAGGCCAGCCATCAGATCCTGGGTGTCACATTCCTCAGAAGCTGTTAACCTTATTTTTTGAGACAGGAACAAAAGAATAACTATCAGGCATGGTGATACATGCCTTTAATGGCAGCACTCAGAAGGCAGAGGCAGAGGGAACTCTGTGAGTTCTGGGCCAACCTAGTCTATATAGTGAGTTCCACCAGGAGTACACAGTGAGACTTTGTCTACAGCCTTGTCTACAGAGCAGTCTACAGGGCTACACAGAGAAAACCTGTCCTGAAAAACCAAAACCAAACAAAGAAAAAGAGAATGGCCAGTAATCAGCCTATTCAAAATTACTAAATGATGACAAAATTGTTTCTTAAGGTTAGGCATCTCAACCTTAGCACTAAGGGCACGAAGGACAAGCTAGTTCCTTGTTTGGTGGAGGGTGGCTGTCTTCTGTGCTGTCAATGTTTAAAGGTAATTATCCGGCATCTCCCACAGATGTGACTATTAAAAAATAATCAAATATCCAAACACTGCCCCATGATCATGGGAGGGAAGGAAGAACAAAACTGCCGAGGCCGAACACCCTGCTTTAAGGGAAGGAGCAGAAAAGCGGTTTTGAGTGGTGACTGTCAAGGTATAGAAGATTTCAGTTCTGAGACGTTCTTCCTAGGTAGGGCTTTGCTTAACAAGGTTACTCATGCCCTTTAGACATGATTTAAGAAAGCCTTCTTACCATATTCCAGAACTTGTCAAATGCAACCAGGAAGCCTGTGCAGACACCCCGAAGTCCCTTGAAAGTGCGGATGTGGACATTCACCTTCACTCCCTCTCTGATACAGCGGTGGAGCTCACCCAGAGGGCTACCTTCATGCACTGAAACAAGAGAAGGCCTTGGTCAGCAATGGGTATCACCTGCCTCCACTGGCAGGCTAGCCAAGGCCACCCGGCACACTCAAGGCAACCTCACTCTCACTGCTAGAAGCCTTGTGAGTGGCAGGACTAGTACAGCCAACACACCCCCAAAAGAGGCCAGATTCTAACAGACTGTGGAAAAGCCACATGCGTGACTCAAATCTAAATCTTTCACTATCTATAAATGTCTCCTCTACTTGATGATGGCAGTGATTCTAAGATGTACCATCATTTTAAAAAGTGTCTGCAGGCAAAAAAAGAATGCTCGCACCAGTAGCTGGGTTCTTCTCGGTCCTGTGTGTTTCAGTGTAATTCTGGAGTACTGCATACCTAGGTCAATCCTCTTGTGAACCAGAAGCTAATTCATGTGTTTGAGGGAAATAAGCTGGGCCTCATACTGCCTCTAAATCCATGCTATCCTGCCAAAGACAATGGCCTTTTGGAGAAATAAATAGTAATTATTAAAATAAAAACGTATTTTAAGCCAGCCATGGTGGTGGTACACACCTTTAATTCCAGCACTCAGAAGTTAGAGGTAGGCAGATCTCTAATTTTAGGCCAACCTGGTCTACAGAGTGAGTTCTAGGACAGTCAGGGCTACACAGAGAAACCCTGCCTTGAAAAATCAAAAATAAATATAGAAGCACATTTTAAGAGTATGACCATTATAGTTATCTCTATGGATGCAGAGAGTTATTCATCACATTATATTATGCACCATAAAAATTTAAAGTTGTAAACTGGGTGTGGTGGCACATGCTTTTAATCCCAGCACTTGGGAGGCAGACAGATCTCTGTAAATTCAAGTCTAGCTGTTCAGAAAATGTAAAGTTGTTTCAATGTTTATGATTTTATCTATTTTAATTCAATCAATATGTTATGCCTGCCTTTAAGGTGAATTATATATTTTTAAATTTAAATTTTTTATTCTTCAATTTGCCATATGCAGTATTAGGTTTCATCATGGGACTCTGGAAGAATGTTTGTTTTTGTTGTAGAATGGCCTGTTGATGCATAGTCTGCAGGAGCTCCTGTAGTTACTGGTATTTCAATGTACATCTTCATACTGGGAGGAAATGGACCTGATGGTTTGAAGGACGTCCGCTGAGCATCGGCTCCTGAGAGTCCTACTAAGCATCTTGTGAACATAGCAATATGGCCATGCAGGATAGGAACAATGGGCAGGAAAGATTTTGAGAGTGAGAATCTCTCCTGCAGAGCTTGGAGCAATGACAGGCTTCCCTTACTTCTTGTCAATTTACCTTTTGTGCTCTGCTGGGTGAGTATTAAAAAACAAACAAAAACTTCCCCCAAAGAACCTCCATACATTTTTAAACAAAAACTTCATTATTGCTAGGGGGTATAAGAGAGAACAGCCTTGTACTTCAGTTCAGATAACAGATTTCCTCATTCATGAGTTGTCGTAGAAATGAATACCATGACAAATGAAGGAAAATCCTCTTGGAAGGAAATGACTCAACATACGAAAGTGGGAGTTTATGTGACAGATTGGAAATTAGGTAACCGGGTACAGTTGGAGGCAAAGTGACAAACAGTGGCCTCACATACAGTCTCAGGCAAAGTGAGAGAAACAGCGAACGCTGCTGGTCATGTCTTCTGGCAATGGCTTTGAACCCTTGATAAGTGTGTATGTGTGTCACAGGCTTTGTAAAATCAGGTGTGTAAGCAGCATTCAGACCCTTATCCAGGGTAACCTTGGCAAGTGACTTTTTCCTTAAAAGTTCAACTTTCCTCATTGGTAGAATCAAATTGGACTAGTGACCTTCTAAATCACTTTTGGGAATAGATCTCTATAATTCCGCTTATTGAAACTCATCACAGTGTCTGGTTTAGACCCTTTGCACACAAATATGCACCTCCCTGCCTCCCATGCACATGCTTTCACAAAGTGGAAGTTCTCTAAGTTGAACAAAACAAGGGACCATAGATGTCAGGGATTAAGACCTTCCCGGTACTCTCTATGAAGCACAATTTGGTCCAGAGTCTTATCAGATGATTGGCAGATTACAGGTCTCCTGGTTCTCTTCACCAACCACATCACTCTCCTCATGCCACTCCAGGCTCTCTACGAGCCAGGCCCTTTGGTAAGCTTTGCATCCATCATTTCTTTTAAGTCTCACTACCTTAACACACAGGTGCTTTTGCTACCAATAGGCTGAAGGTTCTTTTGCTGTATTCAGATGGAAATCATCAACAACAGATTCTTAGTTCAGCAACTCCAAGCTTAAGGTCCGAGGACCTCTCTTCTAGTGGTCCAAAACTCCTCTACAGTTGGTACCAATAACTCTTGATTGTTGGCTACAAGTCCTCCATCTTTGTGGCTCTCAGCTGCCCTTCTCTGTCCACAGTCTTGTCATCTCAACACTCCTTCAGTTCTTCAGATGATTCAGCCTGCACAATCTCTGTTCCTAGCCACTCTCTGGAACTCTCTAGCAACCCTCTAGCTGCTGCTGAGTATGCCTGGGGCTGGCAGCCTCAGGACTGTCTGTTCTTCATGCTACCAGGTCTGCCGGCTCTGTCCAAGACAAAGACCACAAGCAGTCAATGAAACCATCAGATGAGGATTCACCTAGACTGAGTGTTCTAGCAAAGAGTGTAATACAGAGGGGGAGAGTATAGCAAGGGCTGTGGCGATATCATGTGCACGGCCCCCAGTATGCTAACTGATAACTTTGCGCTTAGTCACGTAGGATGTGCAGGTTTATTGGGCATGCTTCTGGCTGTCATGTGTAGAAGAGGTATTCCTCCTACCCCGACTGGGGACATCTGCAAAATGGGTGGGGTCATCCAGGGAGATTGTTGAATTAAAGTAGTATCTCCTGAAGCCATTATAGGATGACATTGTAGTGTTGAAGTACAGTCTCCCAAGGTGGCAACTGTCAATATGATGGCCTCCAGAAGTGAGAGCATATCAAACAGACATGACAAGTACAAAGATTTATGTGACCAGACAACAACCTGGGGTAACATGTCCCAGGTGGCTGAAACAAAGTGTTCCTAGGTAGACATGAGGCATTAAATGTAGTCATAGTTCCAGCCGGATGCTGGTGGTGGCACACGCCTTTAATCCTACCACGCTCCAGAGACAGAGGCAGAGGCAGGTTGATCTCTGTGAGTTCAAATAAAAAAAAAAAAAAAAAAAAAAAACCCAGCCATAATTCCTAAGAACTATCTTCCATTGAGGAGAAAGTGGCTGGTTGATTGATGGCTCCAGAGTTTCTGAGACAGTGGTGCTGGAGAAAAAGGGTCCTGCCACCACCTTCCCTAGTGGAAACCTCAGGGGTGGCAACAAGGTCCTTCATAGCACCTTGAAGGACTGGGCTCAGGGAACACACAGATAACAACAGAAGTTCCTATCTGATCTACTTCCCTGCCTGACAGGATGGGCTGCCTGGGCAGTTTAGGCTACAGAAGGACTCTGAGGTTCTGATGGCTGCCAACTAAGAGACTTCACAATTTCAGTCATTTAAAAAGGTAAACAATGTATTAAGACGTGCTCACAGCAAAGATCCACCACTAAGTTAACCTTCTTTTCTGGTGAGCTCTATCTAGCACTGTCTAACCCAAGTACCCCCAGGGAGGGCTGGGTACTCCTAGGGAAGGCTGGGTGTCCTGGCCTCACAAATACCTCATTCCAATTTACAGTTAAAGAGACTCAACAGCATCAAAGTAATTTGTTCAAGGTCACTTACTTCATCATCAGCTGAGCCAATACTCCATACAACCAGTTACAAATATTCTGACCTTTAATTACGTCAACCTGAAAATAATAATGACCACCACGAGAACAACCTACAGAAAGTGATAGTAGACATTGTTGAACCCTTCCTATTAGACAATGTCACTGTTGCAAATATTTTCAAAGTGTTGATGAATTTAACACAGTGACAGACAGACAGTACTACTACTTTCATTACCACATTGGAAAAGTCAGGCCCAACGGTGTAACTTGCCTAAAATACAACAACTGGAAGTAGAAGAAACCAGTGTTCAAACCAATGTGAACCCTACACATTTGTGAAAAGGGATGACCTCTACTACAGTTTAAATATACTGAATAACTTGATTTTTGAAGACTGTGTTAACTTCAAATCCTAAAGGTGACCCTTGGAAAAAATGCCTTAACAAACCCCATTCTTATTCTTGCTTTCGGAAGGCTATTCTTTGTGGTATCCACCCTCTCATGGGACTCCCAACTGCATCACATTTTTCAGTGGCGAGGGCTAATACTGTGAAGTCTTGATTCCAGAAATGAACTTAATCAAGAAAACCAGATGAAGCTGGTCTTCATAGTCTTAACAGAAAAATCGGAACCACTCTTAACTGTTTCCCTTGACAATCTTGGTAGCAAGGCGTTAAGAGGAATAAATGGGAATAAATGTTATACTCTGAGACTTGGGTGCAACTCAACAAGCTAACAGTGGCAAAACACATAGGCAAAAGAAGGTACGGCAACTGCTTGTTTCAGAGCCTGCTTGTTTCAGAGCCATGCATGCTCTGTCTTTCTGCTACTGCTGTGCAAGCCAGCTCTGGAAAATCCTAGCTGGGCAGGAGGCTCTGGTACAGTATGTCATCCGACAGAGAGGCACCAGCAGCACCTCTTTTCAGGATGTTTCTCTCTTGATAAACACATTTCTAGGAACATAACAAAACAAAATCTCTTGCCGAGTTCACTCCTCTATTCCAAAAGAAGTCACTTTAACATCGTAACGATTTAATTAGTAGGCTACAGAAGCTCTGACTGGCTAAGTAGGTCATTGTGTTCACAGGGCAGATGTCAGAACTATTTATTTGGTATAACCCTAGGCTATTTTTATTCTATTTATACAAGACCTAACTAGCACATTAGAACCTTTGCTGTTTACAGCTTCACCCTGAGGATCTATTAGGAAGCTGCAAGAAATTCCTTTGTGCCATTTACACCTTCAGAATTTAAAACAACCTGCACACTGGGCAACTTGAGCCTGACAGACACTCCTGCCCTAGCTAGCTAGTGGCTGTAAAACCGCACCTGGGTTTTGGTGGCACTCTGTGCCTGCAGCATTCCAACACCAGTGATTTAGTTAATGTGAACATAGGTGGATCAAGTCCCCGCAGCCAATTTTGCAAACTGCAGCTCAAACGGAGCTGTCATTTCCCATGCTGGGATATGAAACGTCTCTTGCGATATGTGTCTCTCGTGCTATGTGAACAGATCCATCGCCTCACTCTCCACCTGACCCTCAAACCCCATTCACCTTAAGACTGGCTGTGCTTCAACCCAACTTACGTATGTCTGCTGCCCATCTCCCTGCAGTGGTCCCCAAGACCTCTCATCCCTTCTGCAGACCTCGGATGTTCCCCAAACTCTGTCTGCAAGCCCCACAATC